ATACCCCAGCGACTTAAGACTGCTTTTGTGCTCCAGGCTCACATGTTTGTTGATAGTAATGCATTTACAGTAGAAATGCAATGGTTGTGAGTGCATTTGTTTACATTTTGTGGTAATCAACATGCTTGTTAATATTGGAAACAATATTATTAATGTGCATTTATCTTTGTTAGTTCCTTTTAAAACGGTTGTACTGTAAAATGTTTTTTCTGCTTTAGTTTCTCATGCACATCGACTCCAGCAGCCTCAGCAGTCCGATGGACATGGAGACAGACGGGCCGATCATTGAAGATGTCATGATGCTGAAGAAGACCGTAGAAGAAGAAGCCACTCATGTAGAAGTGCTTTGGACATTAGTCTCTGATTCTCACCGAGGCTGCATTTATTTGATCAAAAGTACAGTAAAAATTGTGAAATATTATTCTAATTTAAAATAACTGTTTTCTATGTGAATATCTGTTAAACTGTCATTTATTTCTGTGATCAAAGCTGAATTTTCAGCATCATTACTCCAGTTTTCAGTGTCACATGATCAATTCATCGGTGCATTATTCTGAAGAAAAAATGTTCCCATAATCTTTCTTGCCTCTGAAATTACTTTTGCAGTGACATAAACGATGCAGAATGGGTAGTGAAAATATCACCCAATATTCAGGTCTCAAAAAGTGTTTATTCACTCTTTAAACGCCCTAAAAGGTCTTAAATCAGAGCAGAAAGTCATTGTCCTATCCTAACAAACCATACATCAATGGAAAGCTTATTGATGTATAAATCTCTGACCCTTATGACTTATGATTTTTGTGCTCCAGGGTCACAAATGATTAATCTTTTCATTTTTGGGTGAGCTGTCCCTTTATAATAACCCTGCTGCAAATCTCATGCGGTTTAATTTCGCCTCTTTGCTCAGATCCACAGAGACCAGCATAGAGAGCGTCCCCTGATGCGACGCAAGTCCGAGCTGCCTCAGGATATGTCCACCGGGAAGGCCCTGGAGACGCACCGGCGAGCCGAGGACATGATCGACGCCCAAGACGGCCACTAGAGGGCCACAGACGCCCAAAAAGCCCAGTCCAGTGTGACCCACAAACACACACACGAACCCGTTCTGGCCTCCAGAACCAACCGCGCCGGAGCCCATCCCACATCCAGACCCCAGTCTAGTCCCTTCTCATCTGCTTCAAGCTGAACCGCAGATGGTTTTTGGCCAGAGCGCTTGCATTCGGCGCGAGCAAACGATTCTCAGGTTGCCGCGGTCAGATTTCGGTCTCCTTGGTGGTTTGCGTCTTTTGTGTGACGCTTGGCTTCGCCTAGATGTGCATTTCGCATTTGAAGAACGAAACGAAACCCTTTCCGTTCTTGTCCAAACACTTTGGCAATAAGTTCGTCCTGGGAGATTTTGGTTGTTCAAACAATGGTGAATGGCCTTATGGTGGTTAATCAGTGTTTAGATGAGCATGAAAGCTTTTGAACAGGCTATAGATACAGAGCGAATTTAGGCCACGCCCACACAATCCAACGCTCTCCATTGACTTTCTATTGCGGGAAGCTGCCTCCGTGTCATTTCTGACTTCTAACAAAAAACGGAGCAAAGCTGCTGTGTGACGAGGTGTACAGCAAACAAGCTAAAAAACCCAGAACTAAGTTTTTTATAAGCTGTCGACACAAAAAAACCCTAAAAATAGTTGTAGATGTCGGAGTATTTCACGTTGGGCCGTTCAGTTGGATCATTTCTCAAACAAAGGGAAGATTAGGAAAAGGGGCACTAAACCAATTAAATTTAGTTTCTTAATACATCTCCTCCTCTCAGATTCACATAGGGTGGTGAAATAATCCTTTGACATGGTTAAAAAGAATTTTCAGCATCATTACTCCAGTTTTCAGTGTCACATGATCAATTCATCGGTGCATTATTCTGAAGAAAAAATGTTCCCATAATCTTTCTTGCCTCTGAAATTACTTTTGCAGTGACATAAACGATGCAGAATGGGTAGTGAAAATATCACCCAATATTCAGGTCTCAAAAAGTGTTTATTCACTCTTTAAACGCCCTAAAAGGTCTTAAATCAGAGCAGAAAGTCTTAAAATCATAAAGTTGTGGCATTAAGTGTTGCATAGGCTGCAAAAAAATGAATATCTATAATATTTTTGTCTTGTTTTCCAGTGCAAATATCTAAACATTCTTAAATCGATGCATTTATTTCAGATGCAAATGAAGATTTTCTTGTTTTCTGAGAAATTGATCAAAATTAGGTGAGTGTATGTTTAAAATATGTGTCAATGGAGAATGAAAACTTATTTTTCTTTGAATTAAGTTGATATTTCTGAGCACACTGACAGATATTTGTTCATGATTTCATCATTAATTCACTTCATTTTGATCAATTTCTCGAAGACTTCGTTGTGTTTTTGTAATTTTTATAATTTTTTTGTTGTTTTTAAATATCTGCATAGTTTTTATTCATTTTATTCAGTTTTAATTTTTATAGTACATAAAATTAAAATGAAAATGAGAAATGTTGCTTTGGAAACCAGATAAAAAAAATAATTTTTTATATATATATATATATATGTTTCTTGAGCAGCAAATCAGCATTTTAGAATGATTTCTGAAGATCATGTGACACTGAAGACTGCAGTAATGATGCTGAAAATACAGCTTTGATCACAGGAATAAATTACACTTTAACACATATTCACATAGAAAACAGCTATTATAAATAGTAAAAATATTTCACAATTTTACTGCTTTTGCTGTATTTTGGATCAAATAAATGCAACGCTCTCCATTGACTTTCTATTGCGGGAAGCTGCCTCCGTGTCATTTCTGACTTCTAACAAAAAACGGAGCAAAGCTGCTGTGTGACGAGGTGTACAGCAAACAAGCTAAAAAACCCAGAACTAAGTTTTTTATAAGCTGTCGACACAAAAAAACCCTAAAAATAGTTGTAGATGTCGGAGTATTTCACGTTGGGCCGTTCAGTTGGATCATTTCTCAAACAAAGGGAAGATTAGGAAAAGGGGCACTAAACCAATTAAATTTAGTTTCTTAATACATCTCCTCCTCTCAGATTCACATAGGGTGGTGAAATAATCCTTTGACATGGTTAAAAATAATGAATGGGCTTGTCGCCGATTACGTTTGCCTCCAGTGGGCGCCGTTCTCAGTAGGGATGCACCGAAATGAAAATTCTTGGCCGAAGCCAAAACCGATCAAAATTAACATATTCACATAGAAAACAGCTATTATAAATAGTAAAAATATTTCACAATTTTACTGCTTTTGCTGTATTTTTAGCTGTGGTCCAGGTTCCTGTGCAGGCAGGAATCTCAGAGTCTGTGGAACATGTCAACATCAGACTCTGGTTTCCATGACCAAGTGGGCTGCTTTGCTTTGGCTCTCTTTGCAACAGGTTCTTTTACACTGTTATTCTCACATCTGAAATAAAAAAAGTAAGCATGCTGTTTACACAAACTACATTATTAACATTATTGTGATGTTCACTGATACTAGTACTTCTCAAACAAAGGGAAGATTAGGAAAAGGGGCACTAAACCAATTAAATTTAGTTTCTTAATACATCTCCTCCTCTCAGATTCACATAGGGTGGTGAAATAATCCTTTGACATGGTTAAAAATAATGAATGGGCTTGTCGCCGATTACGTTTGCCTCCAGTGGGCGCCGTTCTCAGTAGGGATGCACCGAAATGAAAATTCTTGGCCGAAGCCAAAACCGATCAAAATTAAACACCGGGCAGAATAACGAACACGGAGTTTTTTCCCCCATGTATTTTGCCAATTTTTTTTATTTCACCATTGCATAACTTAAAAAGCCAAAATGTGCTTTTTACTGTTTTGTCTTGCTTTTCACAGAAAAAAAAATCAATTGCAAAACAACAATTTAAAAATATTTAACACTGAACATTTTTTACATTCTAGCAGACACTATACCAACAAAGCACAATTTAACTTAAAATGAATGAGTTAGTAAAATAATCATTTTTGGCCATCAGACCCCCTTCTTGAATAAGTCATGTATTTTTACTGTACAATTAAAAGCAGCCTTGCTGAGCAGAAGAGCCTTCTTTTAAAACATTAGAAAATATTACAGATCCCAATTTGAACACTACGTGTGAATGTTATAATAAGTGTATTAACAGAGCTGTTTAAATTATCATTATTATTATTGTCTTACTTTTTATTTTATTTTACAGAACAACAGTAAAATTACAATACTAACATTTATGAATGTTGATAAGAGTTCTTGCTTTTTCTCAACTTTTATTTTGGCGGAAACGCGCAGGAAGAC